GCAAGGTGCTTTGGACTCGTTCGGGTTTATTTACATCTTTTCAGATTACATTCGCAAACCTTCCCATAACGTACTAAAATGGATCACCCAAACCACCCAAACCATCCCGAAGGAGTTCTCCACACAACTGGTGCCAAGGCTCAGGAGATTACCAACGCTGCCGCTGAAAAGCTTGCTAATGCTGGACAAGCAGTGAAGGACACCCTGTATTCTGGATACGAGAAAGTAACCGGAACTGCTGCCAGTGCAGCTCAAGCTGTTAAGGACACTGCCTATTCTGGCTATGAAAAGGTAAAGTTTAATGGTTATGTTTGAAAACCTTGTAATTCATTTTCTTTAGGCCGCTGATGTTACAAACAGCGCCTATGAAACCGTTGCTGGAAAAGCTGAAAATGCCAAGGAAACTGTCAAAGACAAGGCCTACGATGCTAAGGAAACTGTCAAAGACAAGGCCTACGATGCCAAAGAAGCTGTCAAAGACAAGACCTACGATGCTCGCGACTATATGTCACGAAAGGCGGATGAAGCTACCGATAAGGTACTATACTTCCCTTGATCCCTCTCTTGCAACATAGCTCTATTAAATCGAAATGTTTAGGCATATGATGCTAAGAACGACTTGTCGAGAAAGGCTGAAGGCACAAAGAACGCAGCCCGTGATAAGGTAATAGTTTTTGCATTTTTGTTTTATTTCTATTCCATAGTCATGTTCCTTGCAGGCTTACAACGCTAAGGACTATATGGCAGAGAAAGCTGATGCGGCAAAGGGAGCCGCTAGGGACAATGTAAGATTGCAAATTTTTTTATCTGGCTCCTTTCCAGCTATCGTATTCCAGACGCACGCGGCACGAGATTACATGGCCAACAAGATGGAAGAAGGAGCTGACATTATCCACACTTAAATGTGTTGTGCGAAATCGTCTCCTCGTGAAGCTGACTTGTATAAATGTCCATATTCGCAATCATTATGTGACGTTTCTGTTAACCCTATGAGATGCTTTTTTGATTCTTTCAGTGTATTAGTTCTACCTCGAATAGTGTGACAACTGTGTTATTTTAATAACGTTGTTGTAATCATGCTTCAACGCAAATGTATAAAGTATTGTAGAGG